AATTAGAATTAGAATTAGAATTAGAATTAGAATTAAAATTAGAATTTTGGTGTCCAAATCTCGTTGATGCATCTATTTCAGGAGCTCCATGGTCGTTGCATTGATGCTGCCTGCAATTCATTGAAGCCGTTCATGTCTATTTCATCCGCAGAGAGGTTAAATTTATGCTTAAAAGAGTCTCTCTTATTTGCAGAGAGGGAGCATCAACTATCTGGAGCTTTGATCTCCTCCCTTAAAAATTGCATTGTTGCCTTTTTCAAGGAAATTTTTTTTTCTACTTCTTCCATTGCTGGCAATTCCATTTTAAAGGATCAGGTCGAGCCATTTATTAATCAATATATTAACCCTTGGCTTGATATTGTAGGCCATTACTATTTAACCGGAGCTTGGAATCTCGCCTATTACAGCGTGCTGCTTTACCTTTTAGACTATAGGTATTGATATTACCATGCCTAATTCCAAGATTGTCAAACCTTTCTCAATTGGTAGCTGAATTTCCTTCCTCTCGTCCTGCTATGCAAGACATTAGTTTCTGCTTGCAACTGCTGCGATCCCTCGAGCTAAATGATAGCGAGGTCATACACACAAAGCTAATAAAGGCTCGAGTCGAAAAGCTAGTTTCTCCAACATTTTATTTTCATTTTATTCTGAATAATAAAAGAAGCGACTTTGAACTTCTGTGGCACCTGCTTTGTGCATTTAATTTATTATCAAGCGTCGAATTGCCGTTTGAACAGCTCCTCTCTGCATTTTCTCTCGTTTTTCCCGTATTGAGAAGGTAACTTTTAGCATTGCTTTTCAACAGGGAAAAGAGAATCGTCCGAAAAGTCGCTCTATTTCTTCTGCAGGTTCCCCTCCACCTATTGCTTAACATTGAAATTAGCGAATCATCATCTGATAGTGCTATTGGAAATTTAAACAAGTATTTGCAAGATACCTCACATTTAAGATACACATTTCCTTTTGTTCTCGTTGAGGAGTGCTGCTGTTCGAAACTTTTATTTGCCGAAGAATTCCAACACGCTGTTGCTAGTAAACTTTTGCTTTCAGCATCTCTGCTTCATCAACAACGAGATGAGAAAACAACCATCGACAGCCTTTTGAATCGACTTTCCATATTAAAGTCAATATTGTTGAATGGAAAGCAGGAAAACGTTCCGCCAACTACTCCCTCTTCTGCTTTTGTATTTCTGTTTTTTTCGTGTGAAATCATGATATCTGACCTATATGTTAAGTTTTATTCGATAGAAAAATCTTTTCAGTTTAAGCCAAACTGCCAAAGCATTTCAATAGGCCCCATGGAGATATCTATATATAGCCTTAATGCCTCCTCTTGGCAGGAAATTCCTCGTCCTCTTTCAGGAACTTCTATATTAAAATTTACATCCGCCCAAGTGCAAAGAAACGCCTTCAAAATGCATCCTTTAATTTGTTTTGTCTTGAGGACTTTTCCTGATATTTTTGAGCAGAAAATCAACCTGRGAATGTACCTCGAATGGTCTTTACTCATCGGCACCATCGACTTATGCGTTTTGGATCAAGTTTTTTTCGAGATACCTTTGCTTTCTGCAATCGTATTTTTGATCGCGAATCAAGAAAACTTGGTAACTGTCAATGATAGCAATACGATCTCTTTTAGTAGGATTGACATCTTTGGGTTTCTTGCACCGAAATATTTCATTGATATGGGCCCTACCGATTTGGAAGAAATAACTAACTGTATTGCATATTGGAACCATGTATCTCAAACCAACTTATCTTAAAAACACTGTAAATTTATCGGTGAATTAATAGACCTATTTTCATTTGAGACATGTTCGTATAGGTTTTGATTAACCTTAACCCCAAATTTAAATACGAAGCTAAATGAACGGAATTTCAATCCATAAAAATATCTTTGAAGGAGGCTGAAATGCGCTTGAGGTGAACATCAAATATAGATGCAGCAATAATGGAAATTTCGATTATCATCTATGGGTGTTTATTTGGCTAACAAAGACCGCGCGCGAAAGCCATGCAAACTTTTTATTGAAACATTAAAAGATACATTCTATGAATAAAATATGATTGAGACACACTATGTAGCCAAAGCATGTTCTAAATTTAGCTTTTTCAAATTGGAATATGGCTATATGGAAGAATATGCGAATTTTAAGAGCTTGAAGTTTTTGGGGCGAAGAAGATCAGTCCATGCGTGCAAAAAAAACAGAATTATTTACAAAAGTGGGTAAATATATCTTCATCGAAAAATGACGAGGCGCTTTGAAAATTGATAGAAGCTTACGTACGGAATCGTTTGCAGTAGGCAGCTTTAGTTGGAATGCTATCAAATTTTATTTTGCATTTCATATTCGAACCTAACCCTAAGTGTGAAAGATATACTGAAATGGCTCAAAGAACGGGATGCCAGATTTTTCAGTACGACCAAGCAGGAAATTTTCCATGTTCGGTTGGCATAAACCAAAGCCCGCTTTACGATGCTTGTAGGGGCAATTTATATAAAGAATGCTGCTAAAATAAGGCGAAATAGCTCTTTTCTCAAGATGAAAGGACTAATTAAAAACTAATCATAGAAAGGTGAATGTAAATCCCAATGCAATCGACAATCTTTAAGATGTAGCTAGTGAAAAAATAATGACTTTTATAGAAAAGCATCTCGAATTGCTTATGTATGAAGGCGACTTCAAATACAACTTCGAGGGTTTTCTCGACAATTGACGTGGGATCAAACGGTAGATGGACTCCACCGTTTTGGTATTTTTCTGCATAGAACCGCACGTATATGTATTGCAGCAGACGATATAATCTCATATAGAAATCATAGGAGATAGTCTAGCTTCTGATGCAGCCTTGCGAATTACTTCGCAAATGCACCGTTTTACAAAGGTGTGAACTTTGGTCGTATTATGCGTGATCATAACCAGGTTATTAACCACGATAAAGGCAAGTTTCCTTTCGGAGTGTTCTGGGAAATCTATGAATTCCCCGTTGTACTCGCAGACTGGAACAAGGTCGTCCAGGGACTCGGATTTCTTTTCATGGAAAAGCTCCAATGCTTCGTTCCAATCCTTTTCAGATTTGGTCACTGTCATATTTGAAGTGCCAGAAAATTATATTCTGAAACTTTAATGGCAACATGAATCAATGTCAAATCCAAATTGGGATCGCTACTAGAATATAAACACAAATTAGCCTAGGTGGCTGAAATGCAGTATGCCAACAATATCAAAATGCCAAAACACATGCCATCATATCGAGAGTTGCATACTGCTCTCTCTGAAGAATAATCTTGTAGCACTTTTGAGTTGGATAACGAAATCCCATATTTTATTATACGTGCAAAAATAATATTGTGTCAGATCTGCATTTTTTAATCTTTCAAATCAAAATCACAAGTGTACAAAACCAATGCAATTTCATTGGATAAAGAAACTTTGGATGCTGATTCACATGTCACCTTGCCCTTTTGCCTATTTCTCGTAATGGATATGGCAAGAAGGGATATGTTTTTCCAAAAAAGATGTTTCTTTGTTGAAATTTAAAGCTCGTTCGAAATACCCGAGGAAGTTGCATCAAAAACACACAATTAGAAAGGGCTTAAATGTATTTTTAGTAAAGGCTATAAGATACAATGATAACTGCGTTTATTTTTTAGGGGTACTATTTATCCTATTGTTAAATTTAGAATATAAACAAATGACTTATTATCATCGGTTGAT